GGGGCCACGGCAGAGAAGGCTCTCTTTCTGGACCCTGCCAGTCAACATTCTTTCATTGATGGGGTCTGCAGCATACCCTCTTTGCCTGACCAGATGGGACGGGTAGATATAGTGGGAGTGAGATGGTCCCTCAGGTAACCTGGTACCATGTCATGTAGGGCTTTGAATCGGACCCGGAAGCAAACTGGGACCCAATGCAGCTCAACATTTATGTGCCCTCAACTCAAATAACTCTAGTTGGTTTACAAATATTAATAGTAGGGCTGGGGGTTTGGTGGGCACCAAGAAAGTGTCCACAAGCACATTGGAATCCAGATTTAAAGAAAAAATAAAGTTAATGACTGTTTTCTTCCTTTCCATTTCCTTTTTAAGTCTTCATTATCTCCACAGTGGGGGTTGCCATCTCTTATAAATATGGTATTGCAATGTACTCCACTGTGGCCTCCTTTGGAAAGGGTTTAGAAATTAGAAATAGTGAAAAGTGAAGCATCTGGGCTACTGGCTTTTATGTATTTTAATGATCATATGACTTTGAAATCATTTTCAAGTCTGTTTCAAAGTGTTGCTTTTAACATATAGAAGTGGTATGTAAAATGCAGCTAAAATGTAAGTAGTTCCATCCCCTTCTGTATGTCTTTAATTTCTGTTCTCTATCACCAAGAGAAACTATGATGGTTAGTACACAAGACAGAATCCTTTTTCTAGAAGGTCAGGTTGGGGTGTCTCAGAGTGCCACTGATAGAGATCCTAAATCTCTACAGTCACCTTTCAACTCTGGATGATTTCGATGTGAATGTAGACAGTGATTAATCCATTTTGGTATGTGTGAGGGAATGAAGCTGGGGTTGCTGTCTGCACTTGGGAAAAGCAGCTGCAGCCAGGCAGAAATGCTTCCCACCTCCACTTCCCCAAGGATAGGCTCAGCTTTTCTCCCAGTAAAAGTTTACAGTTCCAGAAACTTGAGAGGAGATGGATTCTTCCCTCCCTCCCTCCCTTCCCCCACTCACAGTTTACTCACAAGCATTCATGCCGGTATTCCACACCCTGGCATTTTTAGAAATGTGCCAACATCCATAGGCAGCCTCATCCCCACCCAGGCCCTTAGCCTACAAAAGTGTGGGTGTGTAGAAAAGAAGGAGAAGAAGACAACAGGAAGATGAGGAAGCAAGAAGTGATGCCTGGGATATACAACTATTACAGGCAAGCAAGAGAGCTATCAGTCAACTGCCAGGTCCACAAGCTACAATAAGCAGCCTATTGTGGTGTGATCCTGCCTGGAGCTTGGTTCAGAGCTTGGCCTGAAGCTTGGTAGCAACCAGTAGAAGAGAAACCAGGCTGAGCCAGTTTCTCAGTTTCTACCTAATCTCAACAAATGCAAGAATTTTGGAGGGAGGCAAAGGTTGAATGCCACTTTACAAACTTTAAGACTTTTATTTGTTGTAAGGACTGAGCATTAAATACTTATTTACGCATCTACATCAACTTGCAAAGCCTAGGACGGTGGAGTTAATCCAAGGCAACAGAAAAGGTGTGTGCTACAACAGCACACACAATAAAATATGTTGTATAGTTATATTTTATGCTCTGGTGTGTCCAGTCCTTGAAAAATAATGAACCCTCACAGTATAAAGAAGTTGCTAAAATGTATTTAAAAATATGTATTCATCAATAAGCTCTTTTAGCCTTTTAGCTCCTTTAGTGAATTGGAATGTTTATTGTTTATGGAAAGGCTGTAATAGTCTATGTTCACTACATTTGGAAAGCTCAGTTTTCCCATTTTAATTGGAACATTTTTCCATAATTGCTACTATTTAGTGTGATTATTTTGTCAAATCATGGGATAGCTTTATAGCCATATAATAAGCCCAGGAGAACAACTTCTCTGACTGTTGCCATCTGCAGTGATCACAGAGCAGCTTAGAAAATATGGACGGTCTTTAGAATAATAGGATACATATGGTAGCACACAATTATATGTCGCTGGATTCAATTAGTGTTGTACAATCACACTGTTTTATTGCTTAGCTAAAACAGTGAAAGCACTACATAGTGGGTAATTTACACTAATCCACATTTCTTTAATTGCCCTTCAGGGCTCAAAGGAAAATAGAACTTGTAAAGACCTTACTTTTTGACTAAGATGAGCTTTAAATGATCGTCTACAATCTTTGTTCTTGACAGGGCAGATAGTGGATCTATTACTGTTTCATATTTCAGCCTTAATTGTGTGTTTTAATCTTTCTTGCTGAGGCCACATTACTTAACCTGATATCTTTCAGATGTATTGGGATAACAACTCTCTACATTTTCCAGTCAAATCCCATACTGGCCGGGATTTTGGGAGTTGTAGTTCCAGCATATCTGGCACACATTGGCTTGTGGAAGAGTGTCAGAGGATAAGGGCATGCAATATTGTCTCCCTCATTATATTTCCTATATGTTTATAGGAAGAAATATATTATTTTCTTAAAGATCTACTTTAAGAAAATAATATCTCATTCAAAGGTTCCTTTTCAAAAATTTCTAGGAAAAATTCAGCCATAGAAAATGTGACTTTCATAAATGTATGCAAATTACAATTTAGATTTCCAAAGATTTTCCTCTATAGTTTCCATTAATCCCAGCAACACAGAAACGTTAATGAAAATATCTAAAACTATTTATTAAGAAGTACTTGCCAAGAGAATCAGTCTCTAAGATTCATCAGATGTCCCACGAAGGTCATTGTTAAATATCTGAAGTGTTATTAAAAATGTTGAGATATAGTTTATAGCATAGTAGTATATCTGCTACTTCATTAAACATTTTCTTAATAGTTAACAAACTTGAGGTACATAACAATCACTGTTTTTACTACAGCTGCAATTATGTTTTTCTTTACTTATATATTTTGGTGTTGCCATTGCCTTGTGTTAAGAAATATCAATCTTAAATGTTTTTCTCACAGCTCCTTGTGCTAGCATTGGTCCTAGAAATGTAGAATAACTGAGTTAGAGGTCCCCGTGGCATCAAGTCCAACACCCTGTCAGCAATGGGATTCCATTCTTAAAACATATATAAGTGTGAAAAACAGAAGCTCTGTCTGTCCTTCAACAACTAACAATATTTGATGGACAAATTATAATGGAGGTAACAACAACCTTAAAAGAGCCTTCTGCTTATCTGCCTAAATAAAATATTTGATCGAGAATTATACTGAATTAAAGATTATTTGTTATGAATCTTCTGTAAGGTCCTCTGATATTTTCAAAGCAAAAGCATGAAGCAAATATCCTTCCTAGGCACGCCTGAGAAATGTTAATTCCCATATTTCAGATGGAATACTTGAAAATCAAGTTTATGTGTAGCTCCTCATGATTGTAGATTGAAATGTGCTGTATTCCATAATCTATATTCATCTCATATTGCATGAAATGGTTCAATGGCTGATGTTACATTTTTAGAAAAGGAAATTTATAGCCTCCTATGCCCTTTGTATAAGAATGGAAATGAAGATATGTATTAACCCTAACCTAGGTAATTGTCTGGCTGCCCATATTTTTCCCCACAGGTTATCCTTACTTTCATGGAATATTTCATAAAAACATTTCATAACAATGAACAGAAATGGCTTTCCCTATTAGCACATGGCTGCTGCATTTTTCCTGTGTAATTTACCCAACACCCTACCATTTCTGGGGAATTTTCAAGTGTCCTATCAAAGTTTCCATGGCCTGTGAGGGAAAAAAGAATGAAAGTCAAGAAAAAACAAACTCTATGCCACTACATAAATTATTTGTTTTTTTTCCCTTAAATATTAGACTTAATATTTTTAAAATTGGCAAAAATCTGTAGATTTAAAAAGAATTTTACTTAAAAAAGTCACATAGATATGAGACAAAACAGGCTTTCTGAACATCAAGTGTTCTATCTATTCCTACTGTTACTGTTACATTTCAAATACACAGGTGATTGAACTGAACATCCTTCCCTAGTCAAAAAATGGTTTTTTAAATGGTTGTTCTTGGTTTTGTTACCAAGAACAAAAAAAGGACAGCATCTTCTAATAATATGTAGCACATTCTGGGATAATATATATATATATTTAAAAATGAAATATAATTACAGTATTACCAGTAAAATGCCTAGTATACATACAGTATATGCCCTTTTTATTATCATTACTCTATGTGCTTTTTAGTGAATTCCTTGTCCTTAACAAGGAATAATAGAATTAGCTAAAAAGCACATACAGAAATTATAATAAGCTAGCAAATCAATAGGGTCCTTGCTTCTAGCTGCTTCTTTCACAGGCAGGGCATCATATAGAAGCATTCAGCTCTTCAGGCCCCAACAGTATCCTGAAGTGAGGCAGTTTCTAGAGGACTGTACCCTGTGCAAGAATTGTGATCACACATAAATGGAACTATATCCATTAAAGCTGTACCTGCTTTTGGACTCCTATATTTTAATTTTTGTCTCATGGTTGATGTTCATTAAACTGAAGACTTGTCAGTTTTCAATCCTTTTCCATTCTGTCTGCTCAATTTTGGCTTTCTCTATCCTCCTCAGTCCAGATCCACACATGAACCAGCCGGAGAGTTTGGTGGTCCTTGGTGGGTTTACTGGGTTAAAGAATATAAATTTGGCAATTAAGAGAAGATCACATTTCTGTCATAACCTAAATACATTTGTGTTTTCAGGTCTATGAGCACCAAGATGGAAGCAAGTCTTTGAAGCTGGGAGATTTTGGACTGGCCACTATAGTAGATGGACCTCTTTACACAGTCTGTGGAACCCCAACCTATGTTGCTCCAGAAATCATTGCAGAAACTGGGTAAACTAACTTGTAATGTCATCTGGTAGAAGGGATTCAGTGGATAACTAATTTTTTTTCTTATGACTAAGCAATGTCCTTTTAGATAGAATGCATTTGAATTTTGATATCTTATTTTGGTTCATACACTTATATTTGCAAGTTTGTCCTTATATCATACAAAAGTGATATAAAATACAGCTTTTATTCAGATGAGATCATTTAATTTAATGAAGATCCTTGCCAACATATCATTCTCGGTTGCCTTTATTTCCCTTAGATCATACATTCTTAGTTTTCTAACTACAATCCCTTATCAATTTTAGATATGGCCTGAAGGTGGACATCTGGGCAGCTGGTGTGATTACTTACATCCTGCTGTGTGGTTTTCCTCCATTCCGTGGGTATGGACTATGATTTTCTATTCAGCTCTTAACAATGCATCTCTGTTCTATCAGTAGCCCATATGTTTTTTCTGTCCGTATGTAATATTGGTTGCTAGCCTTCTCACATTTGTAAAACATGAAATAGCAGTAGGGTAACATTGTTAGTTATACTTACATGCTAGGGAAAAAATCTCTGTTTTCCCAGAAACTGAATAGTATGTTAATAGGATTGCTTACAGTGTAAACTAGATATGTGTGGAAATAGAAAAAATATGCAGGGCTTTATAAATGTCAGAACTATTCCAATATAAAACTGACAATTTTAAGAGGCTTTTCTTATTCTCTTTTTCTTTTCTTTTCTTTTCTTTTCTTTGTCTTTTTTTTCTTTCAAATTTGGTGTTCATGTTTATGCTGATCTATGACCATAATAAAGATTTGACTTGGTGTTCATGTTGCTCAAGTAACCACACTTATAGCACTGCATAACTAAAATAGTTTTGCAGGATTTTAAAAAGCATCTCTTTCTGTTTGGCTTTAGTTCATTAGGAGCAGTGAGAGAATGACAGTTTTATTTGTTTGTTATGCAGAAGTGGAGAAGACCAGGAGGTTCTTTTTGATCAGATTTTGATGGGACAAGTAGATTTCCCATCTCCGTATTGGGATAATGTATCTGACTCTGCAAAGGTATATTGTTTTTTCTTTCCTTTAGAACCTTTTTCTGTGCACCCCTGTCTTTATTCTATTACAGCATATTGTAAAGCTTTAACTAATACAGATACATTAAATAAAATCCATACTAGCATGCTTAAGCAAAAATCACTAACACTCCTAAAATTTTCTCTATTATGCTTTCGATAGTTTACCCCTAAATCCACATCCTGTATTTATTCATCAGAACTGAGTACTATGCCATTGTTCATTTTACTATATTATACATCCCCAGAATTACTAAAGAAATGCTTTCATTAATGCTATGTTTGTGGTATGAAGTATGTTCCTAGTATATAAGTGATTGACATAAGCAATGCTTTAAATTATATTCTCATTTATTATAATTTGGGGGAATAGTTCTACTATAATTGTTTACTTTAGTTTTCTGGAAAGCTGTAGACAATTTACAGTTACCCAGTGCATGCGAGGGACATATAAGCCCATGATCTCTTCTAAGGCCAAACAGAATTATGGATATTTTCTGGAAGGAAAGCATTTTAACTTTGAAGAAATTCTACAAAGGGCAGGTAACAATGTTTCTATCAAAGTTTGTTTTGTTGTGCTTCCAGGAATAAAACATGCATTTTAGAAAATTGATCATACAAATTAGATGAAAAATTAAAAAATACAGTATTATACTGGAATTGGTACTTTTGCTACAGGAGACTTTCTGGATCTGAGTATAAGGACTTGGGAAATTAATGAGCAGGTTCTCTGGGTAATTTAGGAAAAATATCTTCCAAATAATTTAGAAGGTATTAATAATCAAATATTCTTACAAATATATTGACCATGCTTAATAGATTCAAATACAGTTTTGAATTTTTCAAGTGATTTTCCAACATTTCAGTTTTCTGTTTTTGTTTAACTTTTCAGGTATCAGCTTATAAATTAAAATGTAAGGTTAGAATGTAATTCCACCCTTATATCTTACTTTCTTGTCAATATATTCAATAATGTATTTGCTATTCTCATGTTTGAAAAATGCTTTATCAAGAGTATCCTATTAGAATGAACTTACTGGGTATGATATTTTCATTTTTACAGGAACTAATTACTATGATGCTTCAGGTAGATATAGATCAGCGATTTTCAGCTTTGCAAGTCCTTGAGCATCCATGGGTTAATGTAAGTAAATGTTGCTACTGGTTTTATTTTAGCCACACTGTGTGTTTTATTTTTTTATTTGTCAAATCAGCTGGAATGCTGTTTTGGAAATATGAAATTTTTAAACATACCATAGCAAAATGTAGGCCTACTTCCAGTAATAACTTTCTCTGCATATATTCTGAAAATGCATTTAGGAATATGCCAGACAGAGTGTGGTGTTGTGTCTTCAAAAAGTGTGACTAACTTCCTGGAGTTTTGCCAATTCCAGATTATAGACTTATCATAAAGGAGTTGCCTTATTGGAATACATTTTTTCATTAAATATTAACTTATGGCATGGGATCAAATATTCTTGCTTCACCTATATCATTAAGAAAATTATGTGATTAAGAAAGAGCTTGGTGAAAATGCCAGAAATTTTAAAACTGGACAGGGTCCTAAAGTTTGTCTTTTTTTTTTTTTATTGCATCAAACTAACCAGAATGGGGAAAAAACCTGCATGAAGGGAAAAAAAGGAATGAGTTACCCGATGGAACTCCAGATAATTTGATAATTGCTCAGAAATTATTTTCCTTGCCCATATAAAAAAGAAAGCATAATTCAAATTGTGATAGATCATACATATCCATTGCTACAATTCAGGCATAGATTTGTCCTTGTAATATAGTATAATAATTATTTTGACTGTCGCCCATACATGAAAGCTCCATCATTCCTGATGTCTTGACAGTTTCTAAGTGCTGATTATATAGTCAAATAGAACATATGCATCTTTAATCAGCAGTGATCAGTCTAAAACCATTTCAGCCTGAAAGTCAGCAATAGTAGCACAAATCTACCCTATATAAGTTGATGTTCCTATTTCTAAATAGCGTCTACACCAGCAAGGTAATTCCTCTGAATCTTTATTAAATATTATTTGAGATATTAGGTATCTACAAAACAAATTTCTGTTGTGTTCACCTAATGTTTAAGACATTAATTTTCCATTCTTTAAACTGAGCTTCTACTCTTTCACAAAATCAGAACACTGACACTCACTATTCATTATTCCAAAATTCACATAAACGTCCATTTTATAAACTTCCTCTGATTTCTCATAAAAGTAGATTATTGATTTAGCAGCCTCCAAATTAGATCTATGTCACAATGTTTTCTATATATGTTTGCAGCATTAAGGTATTCCAATTGATCAAAAAGGAATCCAAATACTTCCTGGATTTTAGAAAGTGGCATAATCACTTTCAAGTTGAACCAAAGAGGAACTGAATTTTGAAGTTTTTTATTCCAACTACTAAATAAAACTTAAATAAAGGCCCAGTGACTTGGAAATATAGAAAAATCTATATCTTTGCCAACATTTAATTGAGAAAGCTTCATAGATATCCTTACAATGAGATAACCATAGGAATCAGAACACAACCTAAAATCCCAGTGTCAAAATTGTTACTGAGATCAGTGGTATAAATCTGATTTTTCTCCCCAGTTTATATAGTAATTAGGAAGGAACTATAGTGGTACCTCTACTTACGAAC